TCTTCCTCCATGTGCCTAATTAACATGACTATATTACTGCTCTTGGTTCACCACACTGAGAAATGTTGTGATTTCTATTATAGGGGATGAGGATTTTTAACTCAATTATACCAATTCTCATCCTCTTTCTATGCTCATTTTAGCTTAATTGTTTTTGTTCTTTATTTTTATTTTAAAGATGTGGAGTACAATTCAGGGTTAGGTAACAAATGGTCATTACAGGTAAAGTTTGGGCCTTACTTTGGTCCCCTCTTCATCTGGTTTGAGATCACCCTTACTGATGAAGATCTCCCTTACCTCCCACCCATGGCTGTTTCCCACTACTGCCAATACCTTTCTTATAGTATTATGATAATTGTTCAGGGTCTGCTTATGAGTGAGAAAATGTGGTACTCAGTTCTTTGTATAGATCACTGAGTATTAGTATTTGTAAAGATCACTGACTCTAAATTCATTCAATTTGCTGCAAAGTTCATAATTTTGTCTTTCTTATGGTTGCATAATATTCCATTGTGTATATGTACCACATTTTTTATCCAAACTACTTTTGATGGCAACACAGTTGGTTCCATGTTTTTGTTACTGAAAATAATGCTGCAACAAACATACATGTGCAGTTATCTTTTTCACAGAGTGATCTGAGTTCCTCCTGGTATAGTCCCAGAAGGGGGATTGCTAGGTCATATGGAAGGTTGATTTTTAGATCTTTTAGGAATCACCACACTGTTTTCCACACAGGTTGTACTAGTTTACACTCCCACCAACAGTGTAGAAGTGTTCCCTTTTCCCTGCATCCTCTCCAGCATCTGTTGTTTTGGGGTTTTTTTGAGTAATTGATGATGGTCACTCTGACTGGAGTTAGGTGGTATCTCAGTGTGGTTTAATTTGCATTTCTTTGATGACTAGTGAGGCTGTGCATTTTTTCATGTATCTGTTGGCTGCTTGAATGTCTTCTTTTGAGAAGTTTCTATTCATATCTTTCGCCTACTTTTTAATACAGCTGTTTTTTTCTTTTCAATGTATTTGAGTTCCTTGCAGATCCTAGATGTCAGGCCTTTGTCAGATACATAGTTGGCAAATATTTTTTTCCATGGCTCAATTGTTAAATCTACATTCTTCATGATTTAAGTTAAGCAAGTATTATGAGCCATGTTGGATTCCTTTCACTTCTCCATTGTGAGGACCCTGTTTCCTGGATAACAAGACTTCTTTTTGTTCATTCTCTCTTTTGGATGAAATATATCATCAACTAACTTTCAGAGAAAGAATGCAAGGGAAGTAAATCTATTTGAGACTCTGTATGGCTGAAACGAGTTTCTTTCTTCCTTCACATATGATTGATAGTCTGGTTGGGTAAAGAGTTCTAGACTGAAAATGTAAATACAGGTATTATCTCACTGTCTTCAAATTTCCGGTGTCACTGAGACACTCCATGCCAATTTTATTTCCTGATTCTTGAACATGACTTGTTTTTTTCCTTCTGGAAGTTTTTAGGATCTTTATTTTATTCTGAAATTTATTCATTTACTCTGAAATTTCACCATGATACACCTTCTTATGGGTCTCTGTTATCATTATGCTGGGCCTTGATAGGCATTTTTAACCTAGAAACATATTTTTCAGCTCTGAGAGATGACTTCTATTATTTTTTAAATAATTTCCTCCCTTATATTCTTCTCTATTTTTATCTTCTAAATATAGGACCTCCCAGATCTACTCTCTAATTTTTCATTTCTTTCTTACCTGTTTGCTATTTTGTTTTTAAGATGTTACTTATGGGGCGAATTCCTTGATGACCCTTTAAACTTTACTGAAGTTAAAAATCTGGCTAAGCTCGATGGCTCAGCCTGTAATCCCAGCACTTTGGGAGGCCAAGGCGAGTGAATTGCCTGAGCCCATGGGTTCGAGCCCAACCCGGGCAACTTGGTGAGACCTCGTCTCTACAATTAATCAAAAATTAGCTGGGCGTGGTAGCGCACGCCTGTAGTTCTGGCTACGTGGAAGGCTGAAGTGGAAGGATCACCAGAACCCAGCAGGTTGACACTGGAGTGGCCATAAATGTCCTACTGCACTCCAGCCTAGGCAACAGAGTGAGACTCTAACTCAAAAAAATAATAATAAAATAATTAAAAATAAATTAATTAAAAATAAAAATTTTCATCTATATTTTAAATTTCCAAGATTGTTCTTATTCTCAATTGTTCTTTTTTCTTTACAGTATCCTGTTTTTGTTTTATATATATACTATCTTTTCTTGAGTATATACATTATAATTTCTTTGGCATTTTCTGCAATGCCTGTTTCTTCCAAGTTGTTTTTTTTCTTTCTTGTTGCAGTCTTTCCAAAGGTCTGGTGATCTTTAACTATCTTTTCATTTTGTTTTAAATTAAATTTGAAATATAATTTATATAGAGAATGTATCCATACACACACACACACACACAATGAGTTTTAATAAGCACATATACCCATATAACCACCACCAGAGTCAAAGCACAGAACATTTTCATTACCCTAAGGGTTCTCTGCTCCCTTTCCAGTCAGTTTTCATACCAATCCTAGACAACCAATAACCCGTTTTCTATCATTACAGATTAATTTTCTTGAGTTTCATATAATGGAAGCATGCAATACACAGCCTTTTGTGTTTGAGTTCTTTCACTTTGCATGTTTCTGAGATTCATCCATGTGGTTATGCATATCATTCCTTCTCCTTGCTGAATGGCATTCCATTGCATGCACGTACCATAGTTTTCCTGATGGTGAACAACTGGGTTATTCCAGTGTTGGTTGGCTACTATGAATAAAGCTGCAAAGAACACTCATGTACCAATCTTTGTGTAGCCACAAGCCCACCTGTTTTTAAGAATGAGGTACTGCTGAGGCGAGAAGATTGCCTAAACCCAGAGGTTTGAGCCCAGCCTGGGCAACTTGACGAGACCTCGTCCCTATAATAAATCAAAAAATTAGCCGGGTATGGTGGCTCTCGCCTGTAGGCTGAGGTGGAAGGATTGCCTGAATCCAGCAGTCCGGCAGGTCAAGGCTGAGGTGGCCATGAGTGTGCCACCGCACTTCAGCCTGAGCAACAGAATGAGACCCTGACTCAAAAAAAGAAAGAAAAAAGGATTAGGTACTGGAAGGCTATCTGCTATCGAATGTGCTCAGGTGGGTTAGGTGGGTTCCAGTTCAGCAACTGGGTGGTTGGCAGGCCTGCTACTGGTTGGGCTCCAGAAGGCTAGGGTCTCTCTAGGGGGCATAGTAGTTCACTTTCTTCTGAAAGAGTCTCCTGCCTAAAGGCACAAGCCCAGCAGAACTGGGATGAGAAGAAGGTTGGAGGTGGGGGAAGTTATTATTTATAAAAAATTCCCACTTAATCACCATTCAGCCTGGCCACTCATCTCCGCTCCTCTGTGCTGCTGTATTCATCCAGAGTCTCTCTGCTTCTCAAGTTTCTCAAGGGAATAAACCTCTGGACCCTGCAGGGCTGAGGGCATGTGGTGGGAACCTGAGTTCAAACTCTTCCTTATGCAAACTGTTCAATAAGTCCCCGTCTTGGTCTCTTGACTGTTCCAGCACTGGGACAAATTCTCTACTTTGGCCTCCACCACTCTCACATTCAAGTCCTACCTCTTTCTGCTACTCTCTCCTATTTACTATTCCTCCATCTACTCCCTCCTCCCAAGTGACATTCGGGGGCTCCAAGCATGTTCCACTGTTCAGAGATTGTGTTTTTGTTTCTTATTTATCCTGATGTTTGGGATCACTTAAGATAAAGGAGTATTTGGATACATGGTGCTCACCCTGCTGTCATGAAGCTAAAGTCCCTGGGGTCAGTTTTGTAATTTGTAAAAATAATTAAGGTTCCTCTGATGTGGAGGTAGACAGATATGAGGAAATCTCAGGGTTAAAGGCAGCTTCTCCCCATACCTTCCTTTCCCAGTATGTAGCACAGTGCTCAATCCCCATTGTAGAAACAGTCATCAAGTCAAGGTTGGGAACCCCTCTGAATTTGTTTAGGAACATTTAGTCTGAAATGGGGACATTTTCAGAGTTTATTATTAATTTGATAATAATATACTTGTACTTTATGTGTTTTGAAATTTGTCCGAGTCTTTTTTTTTTGCAAGAGGTGGGTGGAGGAGGGCTTAACTGCCTTGATCTTCTTTGTCTCTCAAATAAGCAGTAACATCCCCAAACAATATGTGAGGGTTTAAACTGGTCCAGCAAGGTCAAGCAGCAGGCTCAAGGCCAGTTGTTTGACACAGCTGGGACTAGAACCAAGGCCATCTGACTCCCCAGGAGGTGTGTCTTTTATGTCATACCTGGACATCGTTGCCAGGTCACCGAACAATCCTGACCACCACCAAGGAATGAGAGAAGGGAAACAAGCACTGAGTAACGCCAGGCTCTGGAGGAGAAGCATCTCAGGCCTCCTAGGTGAGACACAGTGATGCCATGCTTCCCTGACCCCAGGCTCAGCACATTCTAATCTATTTTTTACTACGGTCTCATCAGATCCTAGCTGAGAGGGAGAGTACACAGGTGTCACCACTGTCCTTTATACAGTAGGGAACCAAGGGTTAGAGATCTAAATTCAACCATGCAAGGTCTCGTGGTCCGGGATGACAAAGCTGAGCCCTAAGCCCAGTTTTCTTAACCCTTCCTACCATCTTCCAGAGTTGGGAGGAGGAGAGAGGGAGGCAGTCTCTACTGGGCTTACCTCCCTGCCCCAGACACCTATGGAGACAGCACATCCCCCCAAGGATAGCAGGTCCCAAGCTGAGGAGATATGAGTGCTGTGGGTACTGGCCTCCAAGGTCCCTTCCTATGCACAGGAAGTTCACACCTGCGTCAGGGCTTCATCATCTCAGAAACACTGCAGCAATGGCAGCAGCAGCACCAAGTTCTTTGACACAAACTCAGACTGGTGGTAGTATTTTGCTTTCATTTCCGTTTTAAGCAATGTATCTTTTAAAACAAAAAATTAAAAAGATACTTACCTAAGCTGAATTCCAAAATGGGCTCATCTGGATCTTGTATATTTCCTGAATAGAAAAGAAATAGGGAGGAAAAAAATACCTCAATCAACTTTTTCCTGTTTTTAGGTTTAATGCTAAAAAACTCTACTTTTTCCCCAAAAAAAACTTTTATGCAAGATGGCTTCTTCAACTTCACAACCAAGCCCCACTCTCTTCCTCAGATCTACATGCCCACAACAGAGAGAGCTCTGATCACATCCTGGGCATGCGCCACACAGGCAATGTGAACATTCCCACATCACCTACAGGCAAATGGGCCCTAGAGGCGCCACTAAACTGGAAAACTGATGAGGTCAGGTTGCAGCAGAAGCAGTTTCCACGAAGAGGGCTGACACCGTCCCTGGTTTCCTGGTTCAACCAGAGAGATGCCATACCAGGCACCCTGCAGTCTGAGGCGGTCATGGGAGCTCATACTGCCTGGCTGCCAGATGCTCCAGGAAGTTGGCTCCATCTTCTCAGTGCTGCTACAATTTGGGGTCCACAAGCCGTGAGCTTGTACCAGGAGCCTGGCCTGGGCCCTGTGAGGCTCACCTGCCAGAGAAAGGCCCAGCATGTCAGCTGCCACATCAATGGTGGAAGCCCGCTGCATCGCACGGGCCCTGGCGCCATGGCGAGGGCTGTGCTCTCTTGCCGTCATGATGTCATTTGTGATGATGTGCTTCTTGTTCCTGGGTCAGACCACGCCTGATTCCCCGGGAAGCGCTGTCACCAAGCCCTAATCCCCTAAGGTGGAAGTAGCCCTGAGAAATAAGAGCAAACACTGGTAAGAAACCACAGGGATGGTAACTGAAAGACACTGTGCTCTCATGGAGAACCTAACCTCACATGGGCGAGATGCAGTGACAGATGAGGAACTAGGGAGGAGCATCTGTTGTTCTAGGTCCCTCCTGGCCACCTCTTTCTCACTTCCCAGCACAGAATACACATGGAATCCCATAAAGAAACCGGGTACCCTTCAACAGAGACATGCCACAGTAAATGATGGTTTCTAAGTAATCATAAAATATGGCTTTTGAGAGTTCCTTGTCATTATGCTCTTCTGTTTCTGAGTCTCCAACAACCTTTAAAATGCAAGTCAGCTCACCACAACCTCTGTGAGAAGGGTGAGAGCTGCCGGAGAGTCTGCCGCTCAAGGCTCCACCAGTATTGCAGAACACTGACCAGATAGCTCATGCTTCTCACCTGCTTGCTTGCCTTCCAGGGTTACACAAACTTCATGTATGTCTCAGTCTCAGGCTTTCTTTCCCACAAAGCATGTAAGTGATAATCTAGACCTAATTGAAGTGGATGGCGCTGTGCTATGGATGAGGAAGGCTCTGGGCAAAATGCCGCCAGAGGCTGAGTCAGACAGACACAGAGCACGGAGCTCACACTGTCTCTCAGAAGTAGCAGGAAAGGAGTTTTAGGTTTTTCCAACCCTATATGCTTACAATTCCTGCCATCTCTAGAAGAAACCAGCCTTTAGCAGTAATGATAATCAGACTGAGCAACAAGCCTGTTTAAAACACCCTCTCAAGCATCTCCACATATCCAGAGACTGCCCTGTCTTCTCAAATGGTGTCCATGCCTCTGCGACTGAAGTACTTAGGCTCCTGCCCCTGGGTTAATTCACTAGCGACTTACTAGACATGTTTGTCCTCAGACCACATGGCATTTCTTCATAGAAGCATGTCCAAATCCATCATCTAAAAACAGAAAAGTATAAACTTAACAAGCTGGTCAAACATTAAGTTCCTAGAAACACGGGGTAGCCAAGAGCTACTCCATGTTTGTGTGAGCTCCACACCCCAATCTAACCTTTGGGCTCGAAAACACAAGTTTTGCTCAAACCCAAAAGAATGAGAAAGAGAAAGTGAACATTCCCTCCCCTCACAGGGGTGATCTGTTGGGAGTCTGGGCCTCCTCTGAAAAGCCAAGCGGGCAGCTGGGTGTGGGCGAGGGAAACAAGGAAACGAGACTGAGTCCCACAGTCTCAATTCACACACTGCAGCCCCGGGAGGAGCTTCAGGGCCCTCTGAGGTTCTGCTCTTCATTGTCTAGGATGAGACAGGCTGCACCCAACTCACTGGGCTGCCGTGAAAACCAACAGTGCAAGAACAGAAGGCTCTGCCAACTCCACACTGTTGCTGCTGCTGCCTGGCCCCAGTTGCCTTCCTGCAGAACAGAACGCTCAGGCCCCACTAAGTCCCAGCACTGCTGCAGGGCTATTGGATAGGCCGCAGGGCCCAGCTCCTGAGCAATCTCAAAGTGCTGTGGTCTGAGAACTGGACAACAGCAAGAGCAGTGCTCTTGGCCCCAGGCCGACTCAGTTTCTCTCACAGGCTGTGTTTCTATCCCTCCCACTAGAAGGATCCAGGGACCTTCAGCCTGGGCACCTCAGCAGAGGGCAATGACCTGACAGTGTGGTCACAGTGAAAATCACCCAGGGGAGACTCACTGGTTTGCTGATATGAAATGGTATACAAGTCAAACAATATGCAACACAAAACTTAGAAAACTTAGAAAAACTTAGAAAGTACTTGGAGTACTAATACCTGTATTTTATAGTAAAGCTTGTACAAATTAAGAACAATAAAAAAATACACAAGTGGCAAAAGGTATGAATTCATAAAAGAAGAATACATGTGGAAAAATGACTGAATTCAATAATATTAATTAAAGCAATAAGCCAGGCATGATGGCTCATGCCTGTAATTCCAGCTACTTGGGAGGCTAAGGCAAGAAGACTGTTTGAAGCCAAGAGTTCGAGACCAGTCTGAGCAACATAGCAAGACCTCACCTCTTAAAAAAATAAAAATGATTAAAACAATACTAAATACACCTATTTTCACTAAATTAGTCCTCCACGAGGCGTTTGTTTTTCTAATGAGAATACATATTGCTGGAGGACCTGGGGGAAACTATATAGGGATGTCCTATATTCTTGTTGATCAAATTTTAGAGTAGAACAAGCATTCAGAAAGCAATATGGCATTAATTATCAAAATCTGTTAAACAATAACAAAATTCTCACCAATAATCCAGAACATGGAAATGACCACTGAGCAAAGGTGCTTACTGTAGAATTACCTATAGTAACAAGGCGATCTAAATGCCCAGCTACAGGTAAGAAAAGAATGTTCTAGAAAATAAATACACTCTTACTGTAAAATAGTGTTAAAATTACTGTAATAAAGTCAACATGAAAAGTTCTTCAGCCTCTTTCATTATCAGGAAAATGCAAACTGAAACTAGGAGATACCCCTGTACACCTACTAGAAGGGCTAAAGTGACAAAGACAGACAATATCAAGTGCTGGCAAGCATGTGGAATAACTAGGACTGACAATGCTAGCGCAGTGTTACTAGCACAGCCAGTCTGGACAACTGGTCATCTTTACTTACCCCAAATATACACCTACCCAGTGACCTGGTATACAACTCATTCAGAGTAGAACTGCTAACAGAAATGCATACTTATATTCACCAAAAAATGTGTAGAGAATGTTTAGAGCACCAACATTCACAGTAGTAAGATACTAGAGACAACCCAAGTGTTCATTGTCAGAATGGATGAAACAACAGGAATTGAACCTTAGAAATATCAAAGGGAAAAAGGCCAAGAGTTCAAGATCAGCCTGAGCAACATAGCAACACCTCATCTCTTAAAAAAATAACAATTAAAGCAATGCAAAATACACCTGTTTTCATTAAATTAGTCCTCCAAAAGGGATCTGGTGCAAGTCCATTCTAGGCAAGTCCATTTATATGAAATGCAAGCACAGGCTGAAGAATCTGTGGTGTCAGGAGAGCGCTAAGAGGGGTGATACTGACAAGCGAGGGTATCATGGGCTTCGGGGGCTCTGGTAATTATCTGGGTGACAGTTCCATGGATGACTTTACTGTGTGAAAGTTTATTGAGCTGAAAGGAGTAATTTTTATACTTCAATAAAAAGTGCATGTAATTCTTTTAAGGACTATAATAAAGACAACATAGCATGAAAGAATGTTTACGTCAGTTCTGTATCATTTGTGTTTTTAAGGAATTAGCCCACCTCTGCTGTGGTTACAGCCATTTCATGGCACAGAGGAAAAGAGCAAGAGCCTAGCTCAAGATGGTGGCCAGGATGAGGGTGTGATCATGGGGAAGTGTTCTTTCTTCCCTTACAGTCATCCTCGTGTCACTGAAGGTTGCACCCATGCTGGCCAGAGGCAGAGCAGCACCCCAGGCATGACTGCAGCTTGAGAAATGAGCTCTCCCTCTGGAATCCCTTCCCAGTGTGTCTTCAGCTTTCCATCGCCTGCTCTGCTGCCCTGCTCAATATGTTAGCAAAGGTGACAGTTACACCTTCACTTGGGACAACGGAGGCAGGGCAGAGGGCCACATCTGCACCCCAACATTTTGTCAGCCCCAGAGATGATCGCAAACCCATCCACTCCTACCCTTTCTCCCACTCCCCCTAGAGGGCCCCGGCCCACCCCACTGGCCTGTTCTTCCCTTGGGAGAGTGGTTTGTATTCTAGACATCATGAGGTTTCTAGAGATAGAAATGCTTAAAGGGGAACCAATCATCCATGGACTAATTTTACACCTGAGAAGTTCACAGATCAGAGAAACTTTCAGGTCAAAAAGATCTTAGAAGCCATTTCACAGTTATTTGGGGGCACTTAATTAGAATCTGCAATTTAAGTCATCAAGACCCAGGACACAAAGCTAATTTGTACAGCTGAACTTGATTTCCCTTCTTAGTCGTATTAATTTAAGGTAATTCACCAAGGATTCCTATATTCCCAAGGTCTCTGTTTTTCTCCCTGGCTCCATTTGAAAACCAGAGCTCATTAGGAAGAAAAACTGCACTTAAATCAAAGCGGACATAGAGTGTGTGGGAGCTCTTTAGGGGACTGGAACTTTTTCTTAAGGTTAAAAAAAAGAAAGAAGCAATAACTCATAAAATGTTACGTCTTTTCCTGCTCTGTGAAGTCATGTGACTCCTTCTGGCAAGAGGATGCAGATCATCAAATCGACAGCAAACCCTGAGGTTCTATCCCACTAATGTCCCTTCCACCCATGCAAGGCAGTGGAGAAGGTGGCAGAGGGAGCAATAAGACAAAGGAGTGTTAAGATTCACACAGGATTAGTGATGGCGGCAAGAACTCTCAGAAGCAGTCTTGGGAAAGATTCGCCTGCCTTCCTCCTCCATTGAACTAAGGAGTCTCAGGCCTGAGGGGAGTTCTGGAGGCCCCTCTGTCTCAATAACCTCTTGCGGGCTGCTGAGCTGGAGTTCACAGCAGAGGATTAACCATAAGAGCTCCATTTCCATCCGTCTTATTTATTGGGGTTCTCCTAAATATAATTTTTAAAAGGAGTTGCACTGATGAGGTCATGAAAGACAGGGTGATTTTTTTCATGGTCACATGCAAGTGAAAGGTGAACTATTATTATCAACCCAAAGCAAAAAGCTCAGGTACAACTGCAGTCCCTCTCCCTGCCCTATCCGCCCAACCCAGTCCCACCCAACCCCACTTCTATTGCTGTAAATAGGCAGTAAACAGGCTAAGAGACTTCCCTAAGCCTCTGTTCTCCAAACACAGAGAGAAAGTAAAATGAAAGACTGAAGTGAATCAGAACATGAGTCAGCAGCCCCTGGGAAAGAGACTTCTCTATAGGAGCAGAAAGAGGAAGAATTTTCTCTCAAAAATCCCAAGGTCAGGATTGCTAAAAACACAGATCAGTGCAGCATCACACCATTCACTTACACTGAAAATTGTTAGTAATAATCTAAGATAAGCAAGTATCACCTTCCTGCATGGAGTCATTCCAGCATAAAGACCTTTCCTTACAGAGGTTCCCCTGATATGGGTAAGCTGGCCTGTACCTCGTGGTAACGCATTTCCTTTTGTGACCATGGAATAATCATCTGGTCTCATGAGTGCCAGACTTAAACTCCTTGCTTCTTCCATGGCCTCCTGGGTGCCTGGCTCAAGCCTGACAAGTCTAATAAACACCTGTCGTGTAAAAACCAACATCTGTGGCAGAGACTGCACTTGCTCACCCTTGCCTGGCCTTTTCCTACTCTTTCCAGGCACACAGACAGATCATTCTCTCTGGCCCCCTTCCAGTTAGGTAAAGCTGTGTGACTGTGTGACTGAGGGCAGAGGGATAGGCACCACCTAGATGTAGACAGTAAAGATGCTTAACCTACAGTTCTCTTTCTCCCCTGGATTCCCAGCTGGAAACAGTGGATTGGGTTCGGTAATATGGAGTCACTAGAAGAAAGGAGACGAGGTCCCTGAAACTGTGTGGAGCAGAGGCCCCACTCTCCAGCCCATCCCTACATTAAAAAAAAAAAAAACCTCTGTTATATGAAGCCATTGAAGTTTGTGGGGTTTTATTATAGCAGCCAGTGCGAGTTACTCTGACTAAAGAGTGATACATACCGAGTACTCAAAAACTGGGGCACAATGAAAATAAAAATTACAACTACTAGTTAATACTTACTACACAACACCTCGGAAAAATGATGCTTTGTTCTCTGGAGGAGGTATGGCCAGCTCAGAAGAAAACAGTCCACATGTGGTAAGGAGACTACCACGGGGCTCTGGAAAATGGGAATAGTACACAGAATAAAAATTCCACTTCAGTAGAAGTCAACCAGAAAAATATTTTGCCCCCTGAGAGATATGGGAAGAAACAAACTCAGTTTCTCCTA